AAAAGCTCATTTAAGTGAGGGGCTTTAAGGTATAGGTATCATTAGCTTCACAGGAAACCCACCTCCAATCAGAACAATAAACCACACATCACACTCCTGAAACCAATTTAGCCAGTGTTTACTGGTGATTTCACATTTTTATACAGACAACACAGTTCCTTATCTGGGCAAAAAAGCAAACTTGATGAAAAGAACATGTAGAAATAATTCTGAAATCAAAAAGTAGAGTACCTTTCCTATACTACAATGCAAAATGCATTTTTTTTTTTTTTTTAAAAAGAGAAGAACATGGAATTGAGCTTCAATATAATGTTGTAAATTATTACTGAGAGTAGGGGTAGGTAGAACTTTTTTCTGGATCTGAAATGGTAGTCAGTTGAGGGAAATGAAGCAGATGGTAAAAATCTGTTACATAACAGAAAGTTTCCAATCCTAAAGATTCCATTTCACCACATACCTTCCCATTCTAATCAAATCACTGGGCTGAACTGGGCTAGAATTCACCAATCAACTAGTAACAGCTCATTCATATCACCTGAGAGCTGGGCAAAAGTCTGGGTTCAAGTCACAGAACTCTTGCAAATAATGACCTCACAAGAGGCCACAGATAAAAAAGAAACAGGCAAGATAATCCACCCCCATTCCAAAGTGACTTTTCATTTCCTATCACAGCAATCTTTCTATTTCATATGCTTCACAAAATCTTCCTGCTTTCCTTCTCTGAAAACCACCCACTCTGCTTGTCTCTTGCAAGATTCTGGATCCCATCCCCTTCTGCATAATAAATAACTTTTTTCTAGTGCACTTGTTCTCAAATTTGGGGGCCTTAAGAGTCCTTTATAATCTTAAAACTTATTGAGCCCCAGAGAGCTTTCGTAGACATAGGTTATGTCTATCTATATTTACTATATTAGAAAATAAAACATAAAAATGTTAAATATTTATCATTGCATTTAAAGAAAACAAATCATCACATATTAATACATTTTTATGAAAATACACATATCTTCTAGAACGAAAAAATAGAAGAGTGGCATTGTTTTATAATTTTGCAAATATCTTCAGTAGCCAAACTAAAAGATGACCCTAGATTCTTGCATTTACTTCCGTATCCAATCTGTTACAATATGTTGTTTTGGTTGAAACATTTGTATGAAAATTCAGCCTCACACAGACATACTGTTGGAAACAGGAAGATTATTAAACAGCCCTTTCAGATTATGAATATTCTTCTTTGATAGTATACTAAAACTCAACAAGTAGGGTTTCTTAAAGATGACTTGCAATTGGAATCTAAAACCCTATTTAAAAACTTTTCATACTCTGTTGTATTAAAATCCATAGGTTTACCATGTACTTTGAATGGCTTTTATCCAAGCATGATTTCATAACATCATATATTGGAAAATATTGGTTCACTGAGTTATGCAAATATTCCTAACACTGACACATTTCATTCTACAATACTTAAAAAAAAACAAACACACATTCATTAATATCACCGCCAATCTTACTCAAAAAGTCTTTTAAGTATTGGGAAGCTATCCAATTCACAGTGGCAGATATAGTTTTCCAAAATACTTAATTTTCACTTGGAAGTTCAAATTTTAACATTGGCAATAAATATTGAAAACTATTTTTCACAAAGTAACAGATTTACTTCATTCATATTCAAGGAAATATCTATAAAATACCCAAGTCTGAAACCATAGCTTTTCTTGCAGTCATTCTTTTAAGTAAAATAGTGTTCAACGATAAAAGCAGCTGGGTTTACCTCATAATTCAAAAAACTGCCCAAGTGCCTTTACCCTAGACAACTTCAGTAAACAGCAGAAGTGCTTAATGCCTATTTCCCCTTTCATCACGTAGAATATTAAAAAGATATTCATAAGTGGAACTGAATATTTTCTTCCAATGCAGTTGTGTGGCAATGAAGAATATAGTAACTACTAGTACAATGTGATGCCTCTATCTTGATTTGTGCTGAAGCATTATTAGCAGTTTTATCTGCCATTGCTTTTGCACCATCAAAGCAAATATCAATCAACTCAGTGAAAAAGGCAAATAACATGACAACAGTCAAGAGATGGAAGCAACCCAAATGTCCATCAATAGATGAATGGATCCAGTGTGGTATATACATACAATGAAATATTATTCCACCTTAAAAAGGAGGAAATCCTGTCACATGTTACAACACAGATGAATCTTCAGGATATGATGCTAAGTAAATAAGCCAGGCACAAAAAGACAAGCACTGTATATGATTCTACCTATATGAGGTATCTAAAGTAGAAAGAGAACATTTAATGGTAGTTACCAGCAGCTGGCTCGAAAGAGAGAAAAGGAGAGTTGGTTAATGGGTAGAGTTATGATCTGCAAGATGAAAAAATTATGGAGATTTATTTTACAACAATGTAAATATACTTAATACTAAGGACTATACACTTAAAAATGGTAAATGTTATATGTTTTGAACTATAGTTTTAAAAGTCAAAATAACATCTTAGTATTTTAAAAACAGTTTCACCCTCACAGACTCCCAAAAGGGTCTCAGAGACCCTCCAAGAGCTACTAAACACTCTGAGAACCACTGCTCTAATACAACCTTCCTTTCCTTTTTAACATCCACCTGCTTCTCCGCCTACTCCTTCCCCTCTCCCGTCTCCTTGGACATGGCTTCTCAGTTCTTCAGAAGCCTCTACTCAACATTGCTGACTCTGGTAGTATCCACAATGATTTGAAAAGGCCTCTTCCTTCTGTTCGAAAATGTGGATGTCAATATTCCCTTTAAACAGTTTGTTTATATTTCAGTATGAGCCCCTAAGATTTCTTTCATATTTCCTTGCTCTACCTTTCTGTTGAGACTATAAGTTTCTCAAGAACAGGTATCTTTTCTGTAGTATCTTGATATTGTCACAGTGCTTCTCATATTTCTCTGCCCAAAACATGTATCAAA